GCAAGCTTCAGACGAAGAAGTGAATGATGTGTAGCTCCCGGCACCGATTTATACTGTAGTCGCACCAGTAGTGACGTCATGGCTGTCGCCGGCCAACGAGTTGGTGTTTTTCAATGTATGCTTCTGATACGAGTCACGACGAGGCGTTCCCCATAGCGACCCCTAGAGGACGCAGTTCGAAGTTCCCATGAAAGGGAACGTCTCGGGTTACTTATGTAACCATGGTTCCCTGAGTAGGGAACGAGACACTGCGTCCTCTAGGTTTCTTGCCATGCTGCGGACGCAAGCTTCAGACGAAGAAGTGAATGATGTGTAGCTCCCGGCACCGATTTATACTGTAGTCGCACCAGTAGTGACGTCATGGCTGTCGCCGGCCAACGAGTTGGTGTTTTTCAATGTATGCTTCTGATACGAGTCACGACGAGGCGTTCCCCATAGCGACCCCTAGAGGACGCAGTTCGAAGTTCCCATGAAAGGGAACGTCTCGGGTTACTTATGTAACCATGGTTCCCTGAGTAGGGAACGAGACACTGCGTCCTCTAGGTTTCTTGCCATGCTGCGGACGCAAGCTTCAGACGAAGAAGTGAATGATGTGTAGCTCCCGGCACCGATTTATACTGTAGTCGCACCAGTAGTGACGTCATGGCTGTCGCCGGCCAACGAGTTGGTGTTTTTCAATGTATGCTTCTGATACGAGTCACGACGAGGCGTTCCCCATAGCGACCCCTAGAGGACGCAGTTCGAAGTTCCCATGAAAGGGAACGTCTCGGGTTACTTATGTAACCATGGTTCCCTGAGTAGGGAACGAGACACTGCGTCCTCTAGGTTTCTTGCCATGCTGCGGACGCAAGCTTCAGACGAAGAAGTGAATGATGTGTAGCTCCCGGCACCGATTTATACTGTAGTCGCACCAGTAGTGACGTCATGGCTGTCGCCGGCCAACGAGTTGGTGTTTTTCAATGTATGCTTCTGATACGAGTCACGACGAGGCGTTCCCCATAGCGACCCCTAGAGGACGCAGTGTCTCGTTCCCTACTCAGGGAACCATGGTTACATAAGTAACCCGAGACGTTTCGAATGATGTCTGTAATGTAGAGAACTGTGTTTAGAAATGAGCAAAAAGTTTGTTTTACAATATCAAACAGAGTTTAAAACATGTAATTTGCATGTAGTTTTGCAGACTTGGTCTAAAGAGTTGGTATATGAGTGAATGGTTCCACTAAGTGGGTCTCAAGTATCACTTTTAGTCAGTGTTCGAACTATACCGTGGACTTTGGGGGAGCCCACTTGTTGTTGTTTTTTTTATAACGGGGCTTACAATGACTTACAAAGATACATAACGGCTACAAGTGTATGCACTACTTGCTTTATGCAAGTGCTATATAGGATAAATCACTATACAGGATTTACCCTATTATACTTTATCAACACGAATTGATAGGTGAAACAACAAACAGCCACCCACAAATAGTCTAGAAACAAAGCATCAGGCTGTCTTTGAGTTCACATGAACAACGGTTAATATTACTGGTCGTCAGGCTACAGAAGAATACCATAATTCCTCCGTTCAATTAGGCCTAAGACATCGAGAGTCACGCAGACCTATAACAACCCAGCCACAACACATAATTGCGAATAACATGCCTTACCTTAACACAGAATCGACCACAGAGTCCAACGTTTATATTTTTTCTACGAATCTTTCAGTTAACGTATTAAACATGAGTGGAATTTGCACCGCAGCGCCCCCCACACCTTGATGCTCATGACAAGAATAGTATGTATAGTTATCTTTATTGAAATGAATTAGGTTTAAATCGCCGTCATGCATGAATTAATGATATTTTTGCAATTTTACACATAATAATCCACGATAATCACACTACACAAAACTGAAATTGCACGTCAAAATAACACATTGTCAGTATTTTTTTAACTCCCCCAAATTTCACAAATCCCGTTTTCAGGGGAGCCCATGTCTTATTAAGGGGAGCCGAGCTCCCCCTAGCTCCCCCGTAGTTCGCACCCTGCTTTAGTGTCAGACTTTGTTCCATGTCTTGTGTTGTGTTTTCCTCCCCCATGCCCATATTAGTTTTTTCCTGTTTCTATTCCCATTTAGTTCTATTGATCCCAGGTGTGTCCCATTAGTTTCTGTTTATATAGAGGCTGTGTCTGAAATCGCCCCCTATACCCTTAAATAGGGCACTATTTGAGGGAACAGCCATTTTTAGTGGTGTCCGAAACCATAGTGGACATTCTCGAGTGCACTCATTCAATCCCACAATGCACTGCAAAAACGAGTGTACAGCTGGTGCACGCTCAACGGCTAGAGAATACCCATAATGCACCGTGAGAGTCACGCGCCGAATGAATTCCCGCATCTCGCCAGAAGATGGTGCCTGCAGCTGAATAATCAATCCCCGCTCATCCATGGCGTACAGCATAATGTACAACACGGGTATAAATTCATTGTAAATTGATTATTACATTGTTTGATTAGGGTTTATACATAATTTCCGTGACAGAGTTCAAGATAAATCCTTTAATCGTACTACTGGAGCTGCTAGTTTGCTAGTTTCAAATGATTAATAAACAGCAAGCACAAACTATGCAAAAGCGGCATTCCTTCCGGTGCACTCAGTGTCCGTATTCACTACTCGTTTTCATTCACTCCTTCTAGTGAACTGAATTAGTGACCTAATGTAGGGAATAGTGAATGAGGGTATAGGGGGCGATTTCGGACACAGCCAAAGTGTGTTTTGCCCCTTGTTTCCTGTCCGCTGTCGAATGTCATTTCGTGTCCTCAGTGTATCCCGTGTCTCTGTATTCCCAGCTTTTGTTTATTAAATCTTTGAAATGTACTTTATTCCTCGTCTCCGCGCTCGTTCTTGTGCTCCCAGTGTGTGTGTCGTGACATTTAGTGTCTAAGCAATTTTAAAAAACTGTAATTAACTACATGCACTTACTATATGGTTAGGGTTATGATAAGGGTTTGTCTTAGGGTTACTTGCATGTAATTATGCAGAATTTAGGTCTATTGTTAACATAACAGTAAGTACATGTAACATGTGTAACAAGGACACCTTAAAATAAAGTGTTACCTGTTATTTCGCTCAAAAAAAAATCACAATTCCATAATCAATTACTCACTCTCATGTCGTTCCAAACCAAGACTTTCATTCAACTTTCAAGCACAAATTATGATATTTGTAATGCAACCTGAAATATTTCTTTCCCTCCATTGAAAGTCCATTTCACCAAAAATGTGATGCTTCAAAGTTAGTGGTCTGCTAAAAAGATGATCGTTTTATCTGAACAGATTCATTTAGGCTGTTTTACTAATCAAATTTCACTGGATCTGGTGGAAGCTCAAACATGCTTGTGTAACACGTGAGAACAACCCTTAAAACAAAACAAAAAAGTGGAAATATACTGGAAAATATAATGAAATATATTAAACAATACATTTCCATATTTGGGAAACTAGAGCTTATATTATTTAATATACTGCAATATATATATGGATCATGTATTGCTATATACTAAGATGTCACAAATCATATTTTCCTCATAACTGTGTACATGTATAGCACATATATGTTCATATAGTACACATATGTTCAAATACATTTATACACACAGTTCTGTCACAAGTTCACCAGCTTCTGTCATTATGCCTGTCACAAGACCAGTCACCTCAGCACACTACATTTCCCAGAATCCTCCCTGGCTCACAGCTGCTCACAGTCTACAATCACAGCACTTGTCTGCCATTAGCTTCATCAGTGGGTCTTTATAAGCCAGCATCAAGCACTCACACATTGTCTGGTCTCCTCTATGCTGAATTAAAGTTGGGCTTACACTTTGTTCCCACCTCAGCTCACTTATCTGGACTCTATGCTAGTTTGCTGTCTTAACAGTTTTCATCCTATCAGCTTTGTGGCTTCTTCCTAGAGATGAATGGGACGTTTGGGATATAGAGTGTTTGCTTACCTGTTGTCATCAAATCTTCTTCACTCTGCTTTAAGATGTCAGTAAAAACTTACCTGTCTGTCTCCATGAGGTCCTCTTCTGTATCATGACAAATACCATATTTTATGTATATCTATATATCATGAAGTGTACTATTGAATATACAATGATATACATTACATCGTTTAAGCAAGCATATTTTTCAGTAAATGAAAAGCATTTAATATGTATTATTCAATATTGCAATATTAATGTAAATATATTTTCTTTGGGAAACCTCATTAGTTCTCAAATGTCAAGGAAACACGTGAGTTTCTGTTTTTGATGTAGCTACTACATGTTTATATGTGAATAAAGTTACAACTAAATGAATCTGTTCATTATATAAAGTCATTGTATCACTTTAGAAGACATAAGCCCGATTCGGACGGTAATTGTTTCTCATATGGACGTCTGTAAAAATAAATTTACATATCACCTCAGTGATAAAACTCATGGATTCGGATGGCGATTTATTCACAGTGGAGGAGTGAGTTCTGTGATCCTACGAACCCGGGAACGTGCTGTTCACGTGGCCAGTCACATGATTGTCTGCTGTAAATAAAATTAATTTTATTTACAAATGTATTCTTATTATTGTGTAAAATGAATTTAAAAATACTATTATGTAAAATGTATTCTTATTATTCCAAGCATATTTTATAATATATAATCATATTTATTATTTGATTATTTAAATCTCCTGTTTAAAATTAAGAAAATAGACGAGCTATAGTTGTATGTAATTATATGCAATATAAATCTGTTTATAATTCACATTTTAAAATTGTATTGCATACCTGCTGCTGCCACAATAAAGACCCATTTCAAATGTTTATGTGCTTTTCTTCTCTTTCTGCTCCCAGTGACTGTGGTGGAGCAGTTAAGTAATTGTTATTTTAAATACTTACCAGCATTTCAGAAATAGGCTAAATATGTATGAAAAAATTATACTGAAGTAGGCTACAACGTTACCTTACGGTGTTCGGGAGTGCTCAAAAAGTGTTTAAACACTGCATTTTGAATCGATTCTTCTCGTAAACTCAGATGTGGATTCGTACGACAATAAAATTACCACACGACCTTGGTGTTTGTCAAAAAACAGTAGGTAATTTGGCCGGGGATTTTTACGGGGGTGGTGAGAGAAAAACACAGACATCCTGGATCCGGACGGCATTAAAATCACCAACTACCCCCTGTAAATGGTGAAAATCCCTTACGTCCTCATGAGAAACAATTACCGTCCGAATAGGGCTTTACACTGTCTTTATGAACTTTTTGAGATGACAATTTTGGTGGAATGGTCTTTCAATGGAGGGACAGAAATCTGTCAGTTGTATTAAATATATCTTTATTTGTGTTTGAAGATTAATGAAAGTCTTACAGGTTTAAAATGGCATGAGAAAAAGTAAATGCTGACAGAATTACATTTTTGACATATCTATCGCTTTAAGCTAATTTAAAGGAGGAGACACTAGCAGCCAACCCATGCTGGTGACCATCCAAAATGTAACACATGCTGATGACTACTTTTTTTTTTTGACTAGCTGACTCCGTTCACTCTGTAAATGGCCACCTTAATATTCCTGACATGAAGTACTTGATCAACACATTAGCATGTTTCTAAGCTCATGAAATTAACGTTCTTAGAATTGACAAGACGGTTGACCCTGAGTGGTCAGCTAAATATCTACAGTGGATCTAAAATATTAATAATTAATCATAATTAGTTATGGTTAATTATTCATATTTCCTGTTGTGAGCTAAATTCGCTACACCTTATATTGTAATTTCTTTTTTTCTTGACTTAGAAAATATCACAGATGTCAAGGTTGGTTTGTATAATGTTTATGTCATTTACATTTACATTACATTTAGTCATTTTGCAGACGCTTTTATCCAAAGTGACTTACAATTGGGGGATACATAAAGCGATTCTTCTTAAAGAGGCAAACAGATACAGGAAGTGCTTGTAATACCAGGTTTCTAGACATTGTTCAAATAAGTAAAAGCTAGAAAGAGAAGGAATATGATATTCTTTCATCCATGCCGAGATGTCCGCCAGGCAGCCTGAGATCCGTGCAGCTACCGTTGGATCATCTGGTTGAAATGAAAGATAGAGCTGTGTGTCATCAGCATAGCAATGGTAGGAGAAGCCATGTGCCTGTATGATGGGACCCAGTGATGTTGCGTATATGGAGAAGAGGAGGGGTCCAATAACTGATCCCTGAGGAACCCCAGTGACAAGTTGATGTGCTTTGGATACCTCCCCTCCCCAAGCCACCCTGAAATACCTACCAGTGAGATAGGATTCAAACCAGCAAAGAGGAATCCCTGTGATGCCCAGTGAAGAGAGGCCAGACAGGAGGATCTGATGATTGAGTGTCAAAAGCAGCAGATAGATCCAACAGAATAAGAACTGATGATTTGGAATCAGCTTTTGCAATCCGCAAGGCTTCCGTGACTGACAGTAGCGCAGTCTCAGTTGAACAACGAGCACAAACCGTTAATAGTAAGGCTTTATTCACACATATAGCATAAATGTGGATCTTTTCCGGCAATGTTACAACTTCTTAAACCTATTCAACAGGTTCTGTTTCTACATGATGTGATTTGGACTTTTTTTTTTTTTGCAGAGGAGGCTGTATGTGGGAAATTGATCACAGAATTTTTATTTTTTTTAGAACTATGCCTTTTAATATAA